AAGCTACAATCCTTGCGACTTTCCTACGCAGATTGGAAAGGGGTTGTCACATAAGTTCGCGTTTTTTTTTTCGAGCTCAAAAAATTCTATGAAATTGAAGATTTTGGCAGCAAGTTATACATTATTCAAAAGAGCAAGTCTTCATCTAGAACATATTGCACTTGGCTTATCTAATGATTTGTTTTGTAATATTAGAAGTGTTTAAATTGGTTAACCGAGGGCAGACAAAAGCAACAGACAGTTAATTTTTCTTAGAATGCAAGGAGTTCGAAAAATTTTATAATGCCATCTGCTAAGATAATTGAGTAGCAAATTACGAAAATTATATCCATTCTCCTCGGTAGGCCCCTCCAGCAGGATTACGGTAGGTGTATGCTATAGTGGCCAAAACCACGGATTTGTCAGAAAAGTCATCGTAAGTATTTGACATGCTGAATACAAAAATCGCTGTCGTTATAATGTCATTTCGCAAGGTGGACTAATTCCTAATTTTTCCATTTCCTGTAGATCAGTTATTTTAACCTCACTTTATCCATTCTAGTTTTACACTGAGGGCTTATTGTGCGATGTGGGTGTCGTTTTTCTAATCAGCATGTCGAATAACTCCTACAAGCAACTTTTCGAATAAATCCGTGATTTTGAACTACAGCATACACCTACCGTAATCTTAGAGTATGGCCCTATCGAGGAGGATGTATACGATTTTTTTTAATTCTGTGTACCGAGTTACCTTAATAGGTGGCTCCCAGAATTTTCGCTTTTCGCGATCCAAGAAAAATTAACTTTTCTCTGCCCTCTGTATTTCAAACTTCAATCACATCTAAATCAAATGCAGTTCTTGTAGGAAAAGGCTTGCTCTTTCGAATGATTTATAACTCACTACTAAAACTTTCAGTTTTGTTGAGCTTCATGAGCTCGAAAAAAAAGGCACGAACTCATCCAATATCCCAATAGTCTGTTCTGCATAGGATCTTTATCTGTACCTGGCTACTTTCAACAAATTTTACTTCCATTAAATCTGGAGAATACTTTTACCACTTTATGGGCAAATAATAGAAAACAGAATTCTTAGCAAAAAAAAAAACGGAAGTTCTCGCATAGATTAGCAAAAATTCATTCGAAACGTATTTTGTTGCGTAAAAGAACAACAGATTTAAGGATTAGGCAATGGTTGGCGACAGCGCCTTACTGGAGATGACTTTTTGTTAGTTTTAGATCTTGCAACTTTTCTAGGCTATCTATAACCAGATTTTAGTGGTAACAGGTACGCTACAAATTTTGTCACTGTTGCATATGAAGCGGGTGGGTTTTGAGATGTTCGGCAACGTAAATTTTAATGAGATTTGAGCTAAAGGACATCAATGATCATTTAAAGACAAGACACGCATAGTTAGAAAGATAAGTTTGATTTGCCCAAAGCATCTCAGTATTTGTTTTCTCTGTCCTACGCCAAGTTTTCCGAAAATGCTCGATTAGAGAAATTATTTTAGTAAATCGCTCTGAGCAAAGTTCAGAAAGCAATATTCCGGAATGTCATGAAGAGGTGTTTTCTCACGGCTACTGCTGCAATTCTCGTTCTCCTTTACAACGATGATGTGGTAAGATATCTACATGACATCGAAGACACACTTCTTCCACTGGGTTCGTTAATGAAAATGAGATACTGCTTATTTTTTGAGTATCTGAAGTTATACAGACGCTATTGATTACGACTTCCTCCATGATCTAGAAGAAACAGAGTATGGGTTGATTTTGAAGGGCACTAACCGTGAGTTTAGTTCCAGCATGTTGCAAAACTATACTGCTCGAAAATAGGCAAGCTACATTTTTAGCTAAATATCTGAACTGTTCTGAATGGAAAAGTTCTGCAAATCAAACATTTGCTAAAGGATGGAGCAAATCGGTTATCTCTCTCAAGAGTGACAGCGTTGCCAAATTTCCGAACTTTGAAGGAAGGACATACCAGAACTGTTTTCACATAAACTTCGGAAAAGAAGATTGGGTAATTTTAACTCCTGCTTGAGGTGGGATGACATATGGGAAGATTCTCTTACAGGAAGAACGATGCCGAGCGGAACTCCTTCAAGGATTTATCAACGAAATTAAAATGCTCCTACGATTTCGAAATGACTCAAGAGTTATAAATGTGGGTCCATAATTCTTACTGATGACTCAATCTTACTAAATTACACTTCAGATGATCTCATACTGTATTCCACAAAATCTAAAGCAACTAGAATATGTGAATATTGTGACGGAAAAAGGCACTCCACTTGATGTTCTTTTCCTGCTACAGATGACTT